GCCCAGGAGCCTAGAACTGGGCACAACTGTTCCTGACTGTTTCTTTGCCTTGAATAAATGACAACATTCATGGGCTTGGGTGTCCTCCTGAGTAGAATGTGAAGTGGGACCTTTATTCCACACAATTGCTTCCAGAGCTAGCTGGCATCCTGCCCGTCTAGAAAATGTGCCCAACATCTCAGGATACTTTCATGAGAGTCTGTAAACTAGCTACTGCCTCAACAAGTTGTAGTAATTGGAGAAGTGATCCAACAAAGATTCACATTCTTGAGTAAGAAAGTAAAGACTTGTGATAGTTTCAGGGAGAAAAAGGCAGGCTAGTTTTGCAAATACATTCACAGAGAATGCACACATGGGGCTGTGGCTCTCTAATGACATACTTAGCCCTCAGCCCAGGGTCACAGATAACATGCCTTCATTTTGAAACTCAAATGAAGTTGACCATACAAAAGTAATCCTTGGGTTACCCAAGAGACACTTTACCATGGGGATCTTGTTACACACTCCTTCATGTTCAATAATTTTCACTAAACCCGAGGAAGCATACTTATTGGTTATGTGTTGTCTTTCTGTGGTCACTTAAAAACATGGCGCAACTGTTGTCTTCTTTCAATTGCATGCTGGGTACCAGGTGAAGCTGGTCAAGAAGACCAACTCTGTGATATGGAACTGAGGTTAGAGTGTCAAGAAAATAGGGTCTTAGTGCTACTTTGGACATTTCACTGGGGTCTTTATAATTCTATCTAAATTGTTGCCCTCCTGAGTAGGTCCCTTGCTCCTTCTCTGCCCCCTCCATGGGCTCTTGTTCTCCATACATTTCATAGGCCAGAAACTCATCTGTGTGGCACATCGCCTAGTATTATATTAATGGAAATAGAGTGACCAATTTTTATCTATTTGAAGAAGGCCAAGGTTGAGGAGTTGTAAAGTATGGTATGTGACTGATAGAGCAATTTGAAATTTCCAGATAACCAATGGACATGATATGTTCATAGAATTGGAGAAAAGTGTATCATTTTCACCTTGAGCAGTTTTTAGTACAATATTTATTATAAGACAATGTGTTAAAGGCCTAAAGCTTAGCGTCACTGAATGTATATTGCCTATTTACTGTGCTGTGGTTATAATCATCAAAACTGGACTACAAATTTTTTTATAAGAATATAATTTGCTTAGCTTGTTTTCACCATAGCATTAATGGTTGATTTCAGTAAGTGGCTCAAGTAATCTAGGAGTTAGGGTACTCATGCTTTTTTACAAAGTTTTCTCAGATATTGGCTGAAGAATGAGGGGCAGACATAAATTTTTATGATATGTTTTTAATTTCTACTCTAAAGATACCACATGCAGTAAATAAATTGGATCTGTAAAAACTATTAACAGTGTAATGTTATTTACCAGTCCACTGTTTCTATATTGGACAGAAAGGGTTAGTGGCTGACCATTATATAGGTGATAAATGATTTTCAAACATAATTGCCCAATGAAGATGGAGAAAAATTGTACAAGATACTAGGACTAGTACTCTAGTTACTACTTGGTGAAAAAAAGTGAGGTTTACTTTTAATAAATAGTTTCACTTTATTTCACATGCTCCATCAAACGGTATCTTCCCTAGTATATAAGTAAATATACATTTCTTATTTCATTAAGTTCATATTGTGGCAGTGGCCAGAACCTATTGATTCATAAATATCAATGACCTGCATAAATAAATTAGTTCTGAGTGCCTATTACTCATTCAACGAAAAAGCGAAGAATGTGTTTTCTTTTTCCCCCACCAGTATGGTAAACTACTGGGTCAAGCTTATTTTATGCTTTTAAACACTTCAAAGATAAGGTCAGGTATTGGTCATGGGTGCAACGATTAATATTTTCAGAAGAAAATTTGGGGATGTAAGAAATAACCTCTCCCCCTCCCGCCGTGTCATCTTTTCATGAAAACTGTGTACACCCTCCAGCATTTCTCTGCTCTCAGAAGAGCCTTCGTTACTTGGATCAAGGTCCCTCACCACTGCTCTCTTCCAAACCAATGTGGAAACTGTGACCATCTTCACTCACCTACCTAAATATGGTTGGAACCCCAAGTCAATCACTTTCAGAAGGAGCCGAAGGATGTCTTTGGTTCAGAGCAATCCCAATGGCAGGAAAGATATGATACAATTTCTGAGGGAGAAAAATGACTTGCAAAGTGTAGAGGTATCTTCAGTCAAAAACCTATGAGCTCGAGTGCATTGAATATGTGTCTATGTTCATTCTAATTGCTCCAATGAAATTCCAGGAGAATGGTATGGTAACTTTTCTTTCATCTTTGGTTTTTATAGAAGATTTGTTTGCTCGTCATTTTTATTACCATGCACACTGCCTCATGTCAAGTATATTAGGCCAATATCAATTCTCCTATCTGTTCGGTTAGCAATTTTATCTGAGCTACAATTATTAGTACAGATGGGGGTGTATGCTAGAATAAATCTCCAAAAATGTACCAGGAGAGACTTTATGGCATTTTCCTCATTGGGATGAGACTGGGTTAAAGACTTGGGAAGGAAATTTCTCTCACACACTTTTGTAACGACCTCATTTTCAGAATGACCTGGCCCAGGATTCGCCTGATCTTTGGTATCTCCTCATTTATGCTCACGGGTAATGATCACAAGCGAATGGTGTTCTGGAAGCAATTTCAGGCAGGCATCGTGTCTTCCGCCAGACACAAGAGCAGACTCATCTAATTAGCAGGATCCCCCCCACCCCGGACTCGCTGTCTGTGCTTCTCGCACATTCATGAAGCTGAGACATGAACCAGGACCCCTGAGGCCCTTTCCCCACAAGTCCCGTGTAGAAACTGTGGTCTCTAAGCAGAGCTCGACCGAGTGAGCCGCCGAGAGGCTTGCTCTGAGAGTGGCACCACCAGGAGCTGTGCGCGGATGGTCTCAGCGGGGGGCTGCGCTGGTGTGGTTTACAAAGGGCATTTTGGAAGCAAATACCGAGGCGCTCAGTGATTCAGAGGCGTGTGACCCTGCCAGCTGGGATCTTAGGGAAGGCTGGGTCATCATCAGGAACCCGGCGTCCGCTTTTCTGCTGTGTCAGCAAAATTCACAGCGTGAATTGAATGAGTCATTTTTTTTTTATCCCTGAAAGCTTAAGATAATTATTTTTCATAGCCACGTGAACTCTTAGGATTAGCATCTTGATGGGGTGTTCATACTTATCAGAGAGATTCAGAGAGGCTAGGTAGGTGCTCTAAGTGTAAATGCATCTAGGAGGGACCCAGAACCATTTCTACTCAGTAGTAATTCTCTGAAATGTCTGTGTAATCTGCATTCAAGCTATGGATAGAGATAAGAAAGAAAAAGTCTTATTATAGATCAGCAAGACAGGTTCCCCTTCAACAGACTAACTTCAACAGTTCAAAGAATTTTGCTATTAGGGAAAAACAAATCAGGTTTTTCTCTTCCGTGATCTGGGCTCACTGCACTTTACACTCCACTTGGGGTTTGTGGGCTCGTCGTCTTAGGCATGTGGCACCAGGTAAGTCGGGCAGAATGACTTTTATTTTTACTTGAATAAACTTCAAAATGAAGGACAAAAATATCTTTGCTGACCCTAAATAAATGATCCAAATTCTTTAGATCACGAGGAAGCCAACCACTCGCTTCCCTTTAAACTTGGAAGGTTTGTCATGAATGTCAGAGATGAAAAAAATTATACTTGATCTGTTTTCTCTTACAATCCCAGCCAACCATGTCCATTAAAAAGAAAGGAAAGCCTAGCAAATTCTGGTTACACACTAAATCACAAGTGCCCAGTGGCTTTTGATAATGGCATCTATAAAATCTTAAATAATTAACATCTACGATCCTGTGCCCATGGTTCTCCCGACGGTAAAACAGCTGAGTTCTTTCTGGGTATCATATACATACTTTCCATCTCTTTCTTAAAAAACAGTTTCCCACTTAAAATCTTTTTTTTTTTTTTTTTTTTTTTACTTGAGGGTAAATGGAGGCAGGTGGGCGATCACACCTGATCTCTCTCACGTAGCTCAGAGGGATAGCCAAGGAGACAAACATTGTCACCAAGGGGATACTAACCAGAAAGACGGCATGGCGACACGACGCGTAGGACAGCTAGAGCGGTTCTCTGGTTTTTGTTTTCAAGCATGTCCCCCCTTCTCACATATTCATTTATACTTGTCAGAGGAGCAGACTTGACTACGTAAATACTTCTGCTAATAAGAAGCCTTTTTTTTTTTTTACAGCACTATTTTAAAAATAGCTATTCAACATAACAATCTTAAAGTTAATGCACCAAATTACAGTTTTCAACAATGTAAGTGAGCATAGCCTGTCACCCTCAGCACACATCTGGTGTATACTTGTTAGACACAGATGGATACGGCGGTCTCCATATCTGTTTGTCTACAGATGCACACACATGCACGCACACACACAGCAGAGCTCCAAGGCCCCGCTCAGCAGTGCGTTCTAGATCTCAGGTTCCCTTCGTTGTCACTGGGGCTTATTTATATGGAGAGTCATGATGCCATTTGTAGACCTTGCTGGGTGTGTCTCCATCCGAACCTTCCATGCCACAGAGTTTGCGGTGGGTGACCTTATGTCTAAGGACAGACCCCGCCACGGGATGGGATGGCTGAGCCACGAGGACAGGGTCATGCCCACCCCCACAGGCACCACCCAGTGTGGGCCACTTTCCATGGTGCCCAGAACCAAAGAATTTCATTTAAATGACTGTTGCTACGATTTGGAGTCTTATTTTTGTAAAACATAGATCCCCCACCCCCCAACCCCCAAGAAATTCAATAAATAAAGACTTAGCCACAGAGTCGAGGAAGCAGAACTCCAGTCTGTACCCTTCCCCTGGGATCGGGGCTAGACCCGCCCCACTTGCGTTTCAGCCGCGACGGGTGTTCCAGGAGGCTGAGGGGCAGTGGCCCCCGCGGCAGGTGTGGACAGACTGTCTCGGGGCGGCAGCAGCTCTCCGACTGTCACTGAATGAGGCTAGAGCTGGAGCTGAACCCGTAGCTGCCCGCCCGGGACAGAGCCTGCGTCTCTTCGCTCTGCTCTGAGGCGTAGCTGGGAAACGTCTGTGCGCGCGACATCTTCGAGGAGCCGAACCCGTGGCCTGCGAGAAGGGAAGGAAGGAGAGGTGCGCTGAGAGAGAGATCCAGGGAAGCAAAGGGATAGATTGAAAAAACACCAAAAACAACAACAAGCAAACAAGGCCGAGGCCCACACATCCTCCCAAGAGAGCTCCAGGTAAGGACACAGGTGTGGGACACGGACAACTCTAGGGCTTTATTCCTCTTGGAGTTAAAAATGTATTCAGGGCTCAAGAGTTTCAAGTGTGTCTTGTCAAACAAGATGCCAGGGAGCTGGGTACGCTTTCTAGAGATCTCAAACTTCTAGTAGCCTCCAGCTATTGGAACAAAAGCAGAAAAGCTTTTCTGGAAAAAAAAAAAAAAAAAAAAAGCTGTTTTTGATGGAGAACCTGTGAGCTGCATTTTTTTCTTCTGTACTCACTTTCGGCACACAAAAGCAAATTACATACTTTCTTAAAACCTTTTTTGAGCAGGCAAATTACACTGTATCCCAACCAGTAACCATCAATTAGCAAGAAGAGCTTTCACAATTGGAGACATCAAGGCCCTGACTTCTCCTGTCAGGTTTGTGAGTAACTGAACCCACTTGGTGATATGATTAACTGAAACAATAAACCTTTATGGTTACTAAAATGGCCGGAAAGTTGAATCTTCTAGAAAAGAGATTTAAGGAAAATTCTATCTATGCTTCTGGGAGCTCGGAAGCATCCCTGAGACGGAACATTTGTCTAATGCAAACGGAAACAGAAGTGACCACCGAGGAGCTTGTCCGAATGCTGACAACAGAGGGAGAAAATGTCACCCTTATCCGGGGGCCTCCGCAACCTTTTCTTAACCAGGAATTGATTGTTCTTTGTGCTTGAGACTGAGCTGAGTGAGCAGAGGACACTGGATCTGGTGTGCCCTGTCCTTCCAGAGTGTCTGTTTCAGCAAAACGAAAAGATGTTTTGAGCCTGATTGGCAATGTTTCTGGTCTCTGTCAGGAGGGATGGAGGCCAGACAGTCCACTCTCATAGAGATGACCAACATCTTGTCCTTCTCCTCCATGAGGTCATGTGCCTAAAGCCAGTTTCATCACCAGGTGAGTGTGGTGACTTGGAAAACAGCCGTGCAGTGTCGGAAGCTTGGGGTCCAGGGAGAAATGCAAATGAATTGGGTAATAAAAGGCTAATTGAACTGGCAGAACCACTTAAGGTTAAAAAATTGTGAGAGTGAAATCTTGCTTTTTACATAAAAATCACTTTTGATTCGCTGTTGGCCCAATTCCCTTGTAGATTAAGTCTCCCCAGGAGCAGATTAGGGGAGGAGGCAGATGTGGGCATTTCCTCTTTGCCTTGCCCTCCGGCAGCTCCTGGGGTTTGGCCAGCCCCGCCTCCTTCTGAGCTTCTGGACCTTTCTGCTCCCTGCCCTGCCTCTCCCAGGGCGCCCTAACCACATTTCCTCTCTTTGCTCCTTGCCTCTGCAGGTAGGAATGCTGCCCGCTATTGCCCATCCTTCACAATTCCTTGTTGGTTCCGTCCCTTCCCTCCCAGGTAAATAGTCCTTTAAAGTCTTTTAACTTCCCATCCAGTTGTGTCTTCTCTATCCTGTAGGACCCTGATGCTGCAAGGAAGAACACTGGATCTGCGAAGAGTTAGAAAAGTGGTCAGCAAGGTCACCTAGATGGGACGGTCAGAGAGGCCCTCCTGAAGAAGGTGGCATTTTCACATGGTACTTATGCGACAAAGTTATGAGAGAGTAATGTGATATGAAAAAAAAATCACTAAACATTTTAATAGTTTTGCCTCTTTATCTCACCATTGACTTCCCAGACAATAATTCATGTTCTCACAAGTGGAGCTGCAGGCATTTATCAGCATAAACCAGCTGGAAATTCTAATATTAAGACAGTGCTCCTGGCCTCGGTTTTATCTTATTTAAAAAACGAATGAGAAATACCCAAAAGAGAGCAGTATCGGGGATCACCCTTAGTTCGCACTTCTTGTGGGCTAAAAGCGAAGGCTTGTAAGTTGTGGATTTGGGAAGAGTCTGGCACACTCAGCGTTTGACCCTAGAATCTTGAGTGTGAAAATTCAGTCACACAACTGCTCTTTGTCAAACATGAGCTAACACAGTTCAACACCCCACAGGGGAGACACGGGAATGGGAAGTCCAGTTCCTGCCTTCATAAGTGGTTCACAGGCTGCTTCAGGAATGGTGGCCAATCATGGAGAAACAAACAGAAACACGAAAGAAGGATGCACACAACCTGTTCTTTCCAAGATCCAGCAGGGCACCAGCGGGGCTGAGAAGAGAGCTGTGGACATCATGTCAACCACAACTGCCCTGTGCTCCCTGTGTTTTGAGGATTGGGTGAACCACCACCTGGGAAGACGCCTGGAACTTGGAGGTACCCAGCAGATGCTAGTTTTCTCCCTTCTATCTCTGCCCAGTGGGCCCAGATTCTTTTTTATGTGTTCTTGTTCAATGTCTGCACTTTCTCCCCGGGGTCAGCGGTGGCCCCTCACTGTGCCGGGCTTTGAACATTATTCGCCTTCAAGGTCAACATTGCTTTCTTCAGCTCCTCTATGAACAATTTCTAGTCTAACTGGAAATTAAATTATTATTATTATTTTTTTACTTCAACCATTTCTTTACAGACAATTCACAGATGATGCTATTTAATGCTTATCACAAAAATAGCATACCTCAATCAGAACTGTACAGATGAAAGCTTAATGAGTACTATTTGATTATGTCAACAATGAGTAAGAGAAGAGAGAGAAATAATTAAGCATTTTCTCTACATTTATTTGAATTATGCCCTTTGGCACTGTTGATGAAAACAAAACAGAAATCGACTTTGTGGCTTCAATTAAACACTTGCTAGAATAGACTGTTCACACCACTAAACAGAGACTCTATTTAAATTCTTCCTACACTTTCCCTCCATATCATCCCCTAAAGAAAAATGAGCTGAATACATACGTGGGGAATGTGGGGAATTCTGAAACCTAAAAGCAACAAATTTGCTAATGGCTACTGGTCTATCTTAAAAGTCTTTTTACATTTTTGTTTCTATTGCAGTGTATATTCATGTTTGTCTTAAAAGAAAATAATATTTTCCACCCATATTTTCAGGAAATATTGATAAGCTGGGGATAAAACCCATATTTCCCTGGCATTTGAAAGTATACTCTGAAATGACACTTCATGACAACCCTCTACCCATGCTACGTGCACAACCCCCAGATGGAAGAACACAGTTCCATTCCATAGAGAAGGAAATATATTGGATATTGAGACACTGAGAATATTTGCTTATTCTAACAAAATGATGCGAATCCTCCCAGTTCCAGAAACTTAAACACCACAGGACAAGGAAGGTGAAGTCACTCTAGCCACAAAGCGCTAACACTCAGGAGCACCCTGAAAGATTCAAACCAGTAAAGACCTGGAAGGAACACAGATGCCATGGAAAATGACCAGACAGTCACATCACACCTAGAAAAAAGCCCAGAACGACAGCACTTTATCAATACCCTCCCTCTCCGGAGAAAGGAAGAAGTGCGCTTCCCCCTTTATGATGGTGCCTGGTTTTCTGTGCTCACGGAGACATCCGTGTTCTTTACATAAGATAGAAAAGAAATGGTTTCTTTAGCAAGTCAGAAGGTTCCCAAAGCACAGCACTCCTGCTTATTAATTGGTAAGAATTTAGATACTTGATTTGAATTTGTTTTATTACTTTGTTGGGATCTGGGAGAGAGGGAAGGGGGTTGTCCATTTAAATAATAAAACAATTTTTTAAAGGGGAGAAAAGTAGCCCCCAGTAAAACAGTGGCTTCAGGAGGAACGGAGCAGGCAAGAAGAACGCATCAACAACCGTCAGGCCTGAGTAGACACGGAGCAGGAGCCATCTTCCTTCACAAGGGCTTTCTAAGGGGAGGGAGGACATGGGGGGCTCGGGTGGTGGACGCTGCAGGACAGAGTGCAGGAGTGGCTGGGGGGGGGGGCCAGAACAGGGGGCGCTAGGAGCTCTCACAGCAGGGGACCATGGGCCAGGATTTTTCGTGGGCGTCTAATACTTGAATGTTTTCCTGGCGGGCGGCATAAATGGAAGCTAGACACGACGGGGGAGTGGCCTGGAGCTGTGGCAAGTGTGGTCATGGGGACTCAGAACCTCCTAGTTATGCCTGCAGACGCCGGGGACTCACTCTCCACATCCTTCCCCGACGCTGTATTTGGCTTTTACTCAGTTCATTCTAATTTCAGTTCAAACCAGACTATGTTTTAGTTGGGTCTGTGGGCTGTCCTAGTAGGTGCTTCTGAAATTCCAGTGGAGAGTTCAGGGTCCCAGTAACTTCATGACCCCCACCCCATTTTTGAAGATTTTATTCATTTATTTGAAAGAGGGAGAAAGCATGAGTGAGGGGAAGGAGGGAGGGACAGAGGGAGAGGGAGAAGCAGACTTCCTGCTGAGCAGGGAGCCCGTGCGGAACTCGATCCCAGGACCCTGAGATCATGACCTGAGCCGAAGCTTAAGCCACTGAGCCACCCAGGTGCCCCATAGAAATATCATTTTAAAAAAAATCCTCATATCAGTGCTATGATGTGAAATTGCATATCCTTATTCTCCCGGTGGGAAAAAGCAAATTGAAGCCCACAGGTCCTTATCGACTGGCACAGTTGACAAGTGGAGGGGCAGAGAGGCAGACCGAGGTCTGGAAATTGAAGCCAAAACCTTGCTGACATTTTGCTACATTTCCTCACAGAACTCTCTCTTTCTCTCTTTTTTGGTATTTTGTTGTCTCTTAATTTTTTTTTATTTGGACACATGGATTTTTCTGCTCTTGTTATTTTTTTAACTTTTACTTTTAAAAGTTGAGGTACAATTGAGAAATGTGCTTGTATATATGGCAAGGGCACAAGGTGATGACTTGATATACACGTACACGGGGTACACTGTGGAACGGTCATCAAGATAATTAACACAATCACCTCACAGGCCTCATTCCGTGTTCGCATATGCAGTGAGAATGTTGAC